TGGAGTCTGCTGTGCTTCTTTGCAGAAGGTCAATGCCTTGTCTTAAGGGTCTACATATCTCTACGTCTGGATTCCAGACTCCCTTTTTTTCTCCCTTCAAGTTAATCATGAGAAAAACATCAAATTCCAATAGAGAGGCATCCTACAATATACTTGAGCAGTACTCCTCAAAACTGTCAGGGTAATTAAAAGCTAAGAAAGTCTGAGAAACTGTCACAGCCTAAGGAAACATGATGACTAAATGTAATGTGGTATCCTGGATGGGATCCAGAAAAAGAATTTAGAGAAAAACTAATGGAATCTAAATAAAGTATGGAGTTTAATTAATGTACCAGTGCTGGCTCTTTAGTTGTGACAAACATATCATGGTAATTTGAGATGTTAATAATATGGGAAGTTGGGTGATGGGTATATGGGAACTCTCTGAATTATCTTTGCAACTTTTCCATAAATCTAAACTTATTCTAAAATTTAAAGTTTATTTAAAAAGAGAGAAAGAGAGAACTCAAAGTACTATACACTTATAGTCAAGTAAGGAATGCTGAAATAGATTTACAAATAAATGTAAAACTGGCAAGACCAGTCCATATGCACACAGTAAAAATCAATTTTTATGAACAGGAAAAATTTGCTTACTATCAGTGTTCAAAAAGTTAACTTCTACCTCTGCAGAGTTGTAAGACAGCCCAGTAAAAGACAAATCTTATATAGCCCTATAGGACTAGGTAATCCTGAGAAGCTCCAAAATTCCATTAAAAGGATATCTAGAAATCTCTTTTCCTGTTTCAAAATATTTTACAATTTTTTTCTTATAAAGAATGCAGATGCCAAAATCATAAAAAGGGTTTACAATAGAATTAGCTGACTTAACAAAAGGGCCAACAGAAGTAGAAATATTCAAAAGGTTATGCAATGTCTTGCTAAGTTATCACAACATTATGAACTGAAAAATAACCCAAAGATCAAGACAATTTATCACCCTGCCTTGAAGAAACTCTACAGACTGCCAGAGATATATATCACTGCCTTCGAGTTAAAGCATTCATTATGTTATATTACCTAGGCAACATACCAGCAAATGGTACAGTAATAAAATATGAATTTAAAAAGCAAACTGAACAAAAGAACAATCAACATCAAGTTCTCAACTAAATTCTATCCCCTACATGGTTGTACAAACTATTCATGTTAAAGATAGACTCAGCTCTTAGGTGAGAACTGTCATTTTCCCAGGCCTCTTATTTTCATACAGAGGGGCTTTAACTGGATTAACACTCATACCCTCAGTTTCTGCCTCTGTAAGAAAAGGCTCCATAACAAAATATATGAAGAAGAGTTTCCATGACAAAATATATGGTTGTGATTTGGAGCATTTGCCCTTAGATTTTTTATTTTAAGCTCTTATTTAAAACTGTCTGTTTCCTCTTTCCTCAGTCTTATTGCATGTGACAAGTGTCTTGAAGCCAGAATTCACATAGATCTTTCATATTTCAGTTTCAGGTACTCTGGTAGAAGAGTGACTCTCTCAAAGTAAATTCGAAAAGTGACTTCTGAATACAGTCTATTATCTCATGCTTGACCATGGGGGAAAACTTTCTGATCACTCCCTATGTGACAATTTCCACTCTATGTCACAGAAATATTTCTTATGATAAATGAATAAATTACTATTCTGGTTCTACCTCAATTTGTGTGCATTTAGTGAGATTTCTCAGAACCTGATCACCTCCTAAGCACTGAAAAAAAATAAATCTCTGGGCTTTGAAGTCAGAGGCTAGATTTCTTCCTGCCTTCCCCAAGACGAAATATCTACCTCTTTCAGTTGCATTTTTACTGATTAACTTGCCCCTATTAAAGTCTCAGGTAAGAGGCATATTTTAGAGCTAAATCTTAGGAAAGCTCTGCTTATTCTGAGAACTATGAAACAGATTATAGTTCCTTCTTTCCTTTCCTCTTTCAACCAGAAAGTTTAGCATCAACTGTAAGGGATCTTGTAGAAGTGGTTCTCAATTTTTCCATGTTTGTGAATATTTTGTTAAAATTTAGGGCAGCCAACTTGAATTAAACAAGTTAAAACAACTCTAAATAAATTATTCTACCATCTCAGATGGCCTAGAACGCATTCGTAATTAACCCATTATCCATATGGTCTTTTTTCAGCATTGTGGAGTCCTTTGAGAACTATTCCTACCCAGATAGTAATTTCTGATTACTATCACAATTTCTGATTACTATCACTAGGCACAAGGCAAAGCTCTCTTGAACCACCATCTTCCTCTCAAGTTCCAATGAACCACTCCTTCTTTCCTTAATGCTATGCTTTGCCTTTGACTTCTAAGTCGAAGAAAATTGTACATGTTCATCTCAACATTACATATGATGGACATAATGTTTTACAACAAAAATTAAAGTTATATATATATATGTGAAAACTTTGCAACATACTGTATCATCTCAAGCACTCCAGTCAGAAACCATGTTTTTTATTTCCCCCATTGTGACTTACTGACATAATTCTATTTTCTTTGCTCCTAATGCTTTATTATTATTCGTATTTTAGTATTTTATTGCATATATGTCTTATCTTCTTAAATTCTTTGTGGAATGAGACTAGATGTTCAAAAAATAAATAAAATACAGAAAGGTAATACTTTCTCTAGTGTCTACTCTCTACTGACCTCTACAGGTAGAAAGGAAGAGTAAGTGAGACGCAATCTATTGCTGTATTACTTAGGTATTGTCCAGGAGATCCTTACCCAACAGGAAAGTTTAAAGTAACTGGTGATCTTTGTAATGCTGACCATTACTGACCAGACTCCATCTATTCACAGAATGGATTTCTTAGTTTGCTAAAATCTATTCACTGTGAAAGACCTCTAGGAACCATGTATCCTGTTTTCAAGAGACTTCCCTTTCTCCCGCACCCATATACAAACGGACACCAAAGTCTTCTCTTGTTGTGGGTCAAGGCTAAGGGCCTCGATGTCAAAGTTCCTTCCAACTCTGTAAAACTTGAATCTGGGAGTGGAAAAAAGACTCAATAGTCGTAATGACATAAAGGTGCAGACAGTGCAACTTGTCTGTGCTTTACAGACAAATGTCAACAAATGTAGGAACTCCTGCGATGCAGCAATCAGAGATAATGTGAGATTTGCTTCTCGTTTTTACAAAACGTTTCTACAAAAAATATAAGGCAGCTGCAAGATAACCAGCAAGAGGCAGCTTCAATTTTGTGTAGAAAGACTGTTGATTTTGCATGGATTATTTTCTTCCATCACGCTACTTTGTATGGATAGCAACAGTCAGCGATGTCATATTCTAAAACAACAGATCCAAATGTATAGGTATATTGTGCCTACTGATCCCATATCAAAGATCTGGGTAATGCAGTCAGGGTAACACTATTATTCTTCATCTAAATTTTCCAAGCTCATAGGAAAATAATGCTAATCTGATGCATGTTCGAGGAATACGTTATGCGGGAAAGAAAATCAAGCCTTTGTTTAATTTTACTTACATGCTAATATGTCCTTACGGGAAACACCACAGATTTTAATATCCTTATGTGCATTAGAATATGTCATTTTTTGTATTAGTAGCAGGTTAAAAAGTTTATTAACAATCACACACTTTCTTGGATAAGAATATTTTTAGCAAGGATATTTTCTAAAGGATTGATCTCCAAATGTGTATTCACATAGCATACCAATACCTTTTCCACAACTGAAAGATTACAATGATTTATAACAATAAGAGGAGGAGACAGTGTTATTTTATTGTTTGGGGTAAGGAAATTTTTGAAAGATTTGTAGATTTTATTTTCATCTTCTCATATTTTGTGATTCAATTGATTCATTCTATTCACCTATCTTCATAATGGGCATAATATGAGTTTAAGCAAATTAAAACTTTTTCAAAGTCTGGAAACAAGCTTTCTGAGCCGAAAAGTGTTTCGTTAAAAGGTGTTCAAAGACGGCCAATAAGTGTTTTCACTCTTTTAAAGATACACACTGAGCACCTTCTACAGAGTCGGGTTGGTTCTGCGCAGGGGTTAGCCCATTGTTTTTCAAGAGCGCACATCCGGGTCATCCACCCGAAAGCCAGCAGAGGCTCCGCCCTCGTAAGGGCGGGGCCACGGGCGATTTGGGTGTCTTCCTCCCTGGCGGCGGTGCGTCCTCCCTCGGCGTTGCGAGGAGTTGCGCTGCGCGCGTCCTGAACCCGTCGCATCCCCACGCGGGCTAGAGCCATGGCTGAGAGTGGCCGGACACCTCAGGCCCGGGCGCTCCTGCAGCAGTGCCTGCACGCCCGGCTGCAAGTACGCCCCGCCGAGGGGGACGCCGCGGCCCAGTGGGTGGAGGTAACGTCGGTCCCGCAGCTCCTATTATCTTCCGGCCCCTGCAGTTCGTTCTGCAATGTCTGGGTGACTTGTTCCCCAGCGTCTTCCTCCGAGCCCGCGACGTGGGGTCCAGCACGTGCCGTGGGCGGTGCGGGACGTAAGGCGGGTCCGGCCAGGGTGCCTACAGTTCCCTGCCTGACTTCGCCTGTCTCTTAATCCCTGCACCATCCGCCCCAGCTCTTTCTCCCTTAGACCTATTCCTCTATAGGAGGATTGTGTTCCCTACTTTGGACCGCGGGAATGTGAATTGCCTCTCACCGGCTGCCTACTTGTGCTCGGTGGACTTTAGACCTCATTGTGTCAGATCTCTTGCTTCGAAAGAGCAGAGGCCCTTCGCGTTGCTGTGCTGGGATGGTTCGAGCTTGTAGGCTAGATATGTTGAAAACGTTGAAGATCTCTTTTGACTTGAGCTCCAGATCCTCTCGATTTTCCTGTTACATTTACTGTAGCTAGGTCTTAGCATAGAAATGAAATTTTCCACGAAACAGTTCTTTTTTCAAGAAACTTCGAAAATTTTGACTTATTTCCAAATAGAAATAAAGACCACTGCTTTATAATAACATTGCCTTGGTATCAAACACATTTTCTCCAAAGAATTTAAAACATTTACACCACTATGATTTCCTTCTACTCGGATATTTGCCTTTTTAAAAAACAACCTGCACCTAATCCATTCAAAAACAAAATGTTCTTTGAGGCCCCTGACTTATTTTTGAGGTAAGATGAAATGAAGGAAAAAGCTAGTTCGTAATTAAGACTTTTGGAAGTGCTCAGAAACTTTAATGTAGGAGCATCTCCACTTTTCCTACCTGCTGAATTTAGTCTCAGATCTAGCATTCCTTAACATAATCATTGTCATTATTTTAAGTAATATTCATAAACTATGATATATGGGTGATTATTCTTAAAATGTGATCCTTTGCTAACTTGGAAATATAAGCATAAACATTCCTATATTTTCGCCTTCCTTTTCTCAAAACTTCGTGTTTCTTATTTCTTATTTTTGTTATGGCCTTTTTTTGAGGTCTTGATTTCTCTACCATATTTTGAAATTTTGTTCTTTTTATATTTGCCATCTCATCAAAAAATTGCTTATTTTTATAGTTGCCTCATGGGATTTTAAATCTCAAACTACTAATTATTTAGATTTTTCCCTTTTATCTTTTTATATTCTTCATGCCTGTATTCTTCATCTCTTTATACAAAAGTCAGCCTTCCAAACTACCGGTCTATGTTTATAAACTTCAAAAGCTATTTTAAAGTTTTACCTTCACTCCCACACATGGTTAAATTAGTATAAAGAGATAGTAAGAAAGTAAATTCCTCTTTCTCAAGTATCCTCTTCCTTATTCTATTATTAAAAGTTCTAATGTTTTAAAAGCATTGTTTTAATTGTCAAAGGTTTGAAGGATACTTTGTATGTCCTTAGTTTCATTCATTTAGAGCTTTGCAGTCATAGGCTCATGTTTTTCTTCTTGGGAGATGAATTTTTTAAGCTAGTGAGAATTAGCTGTACTTTTCTATACATTTGAAATGTTTTATACCAAAAGAAACTATAAGGAAAGTGATTCTGACTTGAAGAGGGGAATTTGTAGGCCACAACTTAAGATCAATTATTGGAATAAACTTAAAAAATACCTTCATGAGGAGGTAGTGTGGTGAGTGCAACAGGTATATATTTCTGCAAATAATTCAGTATTGTGACATTGCAAGTGTCCAAATATGAATATGCTTGAGGATATTTTCAGTGGAGAGGCCTGTGACAGTGGTGCAAATAACTGTGGGATTCAACCTGCCAGCTCCTTATTGTGAGTGTGCATTGGAGGTCCTTGTTCCAGAAGTACAACTGCATTTTTTAAAAATTACTTCTTTTCCAGGTAAGTCAGGTGTAAGTGCAGACTGCATTTACATTTACACAGAAGACAATTTAGATAACATAAATCCTGTAAGATACAGTAGAACTTAAATGCATTCAACAGACAAATAGAGTTTCTTTTAAGTACAAAATAGTCTACAAAGTGCTTTGAGAGTGAAAATGTAAAATAAATTGTGTACCAGCTCTTAAATTTATTTTTACGTACTAACTTAATAAACACTTATGTCTCTCTTACTTTGAACCAGGCACTGTTTTAAGCCCCTTACAACTGTTAACTCATTTAATCTTTATAATAGCTCTTGGACTCAACAGGGTTAATCTATGAAATTAAAAACTTAATGATTCACTCAGCAGCAAAGAATCAGCAGCAAAATCAAATTCGTTTATTAAGTGTCTCTTTTACATATGGTCTCTAACCTACAAGAACTAATAAAGAAATATCCAAGTCTTTATATAAAATAAATAAGCTTACGTTTCTGATAACACACAATTTCGTGATGTAGACCTTAGTATCATAAATGCAGTTTCCAAGGACTTATCACTATGTTTATTTAAAGCATTAACAATAACGAAAAATAATTGGATGATTTCTTAGAGTTTATTGAAATAGAATCAGACCCTTATTTTCATGACCTGCAAGTAAATGGATAAGGAGGAATAAAGAGTGTTCATGTCAAAGGACATATCAGTTACGCTGTTGCTTATACATCAACCATTTGATATAATGTGGATTCATTTGGTGTTAAACACCCTGCAAACTAAATGTCTCTGACAGCCTTACTTAGAGGGGAGGAGGCTAGTTTATAGTCCTAATATTGTTGATTAGAAGTAAATGTTTGAAGGTAAAACTTGTGGTCTTCACTGCTCTTGGCTATATTTTAAACTTAATTTTTGAAATAAATGAAAACGGGTGATTGAATATTGAAAAAGATTTTCTCACATATTTAAGAAATCAGTATTGTAAATCAATGTTGTAAAAATTTAATTCTCTTTAACCTCTATATAACAGTTGTAATATTTTATTTATTTACCTCTGTATCTCTATACAAATGTTTCTTTCTAATCTGAGTTCACTGTGCTGATTTATCATAGGTTCAGAGGGGATTAGTGATCTATGTGTGCTTTTTCAAGGGAGCTGATAAAGAACTTCTTCCCAAAATGGGTACGTGTTTGATGCTGTTTATTTTTTTAAGAGTGACATTGTATAGCAATAGATGGATGAATTTCCAGACAAGGCAAAAGGCATAATCTTAAATTGTACTGGTATACAAGTTTTAAATGACAACTCAGTGTACTGGTTTTGACTTTAGCTATTTGCCTGTTCCAAAGTTTAAAGTGGGCAAGTGTGGTGGAATTCTTTTAAAACATCTGCAGCATTTTGGATGACTTATAGAATGGTTTATAAGAGTTTACACACACATACAGACAACACACTGAGATTCAGTCAAGGATACAGAAACTTGTTGGAAGCAGAGTGGCCACATAGAGAGAAGCAGATGCTACATTTCTTAATATAGTTTTTTTTATCTCCCAGAGTCCCTAGCAGGTCTGTAGGTGATACTGTATGTATAAAATATGAGTCCCATCTACGGCCATGCTACCCTGAACAAGCCCAATCCTGTCTGATCTTGGAAACTAAGCAGGGTAGGGCCTGGTTAGTACTTGGATGGGAGACCACCTAGGAAGACCAGGTGATATAGGCATAAAAAATAAAAAAATTAGGGATTGTAACCTGACAGGGTCCTTGTAATCTGTGAGGTTAACCAAGGGTTGCCTCGCCTGAAAAAAAAAATAAAAAGATATGGGTCCCTTCAAATCTGGACCACTCAAGTTTGCATCATTATTATGGAAGAATTTACATTAACCATTTAGGCATTTCTTTCTAGGAAATGTGTATAAATATAAGGTTCTTCTGATTCATTAACCAAGCTCAGTGTCATATCAACACCCTCTGCAAGGGCAGAGAAAGCAGAGTCAACGTTCAGGCATCTCTGAACAACAATTTATCTGCCTTCAACTTTCCAGTATCCTGAATAGTCCATAGCACTGCACATTCCTTGTGATAATTAATAGTTCCAGATATACCAAATCAAATCGTATACTGTCTCAAGACAGTATTTGATATAATAATTATGTCCAAAAAAAAAAAAGCCTGAAATAATGGAGCTATCCCTTAAGATTAGGGACAGGTTATATCTTCTTTATTAGTAAAGGACAGCACCCATTAGTTCAAGTAATAAGAAATATAAATTACACAAATATGTAGTTGAAGTATGCAGAAGTTAACCTAGTGGAACTCAAGGGTGAATAGCCCAGTGAGGAACAGCTTGGACAAAAGGCTAAAGCTCCTGGAGAGAATTTTGTGCTGAGACATCAAACATGTTTAACAATTTATCAGAGGATGAAAACTAGACTTACAAAGGGACCTACAATAGGTGAGGATGGAAAGCCAATAACTATAATGGTTTAAAATTAGAATCTAGATGATAATAAAGAGCTTTGAAGGGTTTAAAGAGAAAATGAAATGAGAGCTCCTGTTATAGAGGATGATTTGCCAGGACCTAATGCTTGGGTGTTGGACATTCTGTCCATTTTCCTGAGTATTTTGCCTTGGATTAAATCTTTATTAACCATAAAAAAGTATAATAGAAATCTTCAATAACAGGAATAGAATTTTTGTTGTGACTTACGACTGACTTCGGAAAGTTGTTTCATATATTCTTAAATAGATCTTAATTATAAGCTGAAATGAATCAACTACATCCAAGCTGCATTTTGTTTTATAGTAATTAAATCCTATGTGCTACCGTCTCCCTGAGTTCACTTTGAATACATATATAAGATTGTGGTGAATTAAAAATACCGAGGAGGTCCACCTTAACTCTTTTAGTGGATAGTCTAATACAAAGCTTTATATATCATGATTCTCAGTAAAAAACTGTGACTCTAAGAATCACATTCTGCTGGTGTGAATTGTAAGCAAAATAAGTCCATCTATTATTCATAACAGTAGTTTGGACTTTCCTTTATTCCAGGAGACAGAGTAAGCCAGTGTGATGGGATTCTCTTAAACTCCACCTCATACTTATTACATGGATTCAGATCTTTCCAATTAAATCATGTTGCCTTTGAAACATAACAACCACTTATATCCATAAAGTCTGAAACAGCATGGCTAACATAGAGATGTACAGAATCTTCCCCAATTCATCTTCAGTATAATTGGACTGAGATCCAGAGACCTGTCCAAGCCTAACTTCCTGTATATATTAGATACTTGATTGATAACCTGTCTTAGGATCTTTCAGTTCCCAACATGCCATTAATTCATTATCTCATTTTAATTTAACTTACTGGCATTTGTACTTGTATTATATTCTACATACTGATATTTGTTTAACAGTTTGAATTGAATTCTCAGTTATTGTCAGTAGAGGGAGGTATGCAGGAGTATAATAAATTATATTTCAGGCCTGTTATTCCAAAATTGCTTCCTTAGTTTGTTACAAGAATGAGGCCTAGATAGCTAAATAGTGATTTCCATTGAAATGAAGTGCTCTGGAGAGTTTCCTTAGAAGCAAGCAATAAAGACTGCTGGCTATACAGCAAAGTCCTATTCATAATAGAGAATATTAGAGGTATTTTTAAATAGATGTTAGTTAAGTAAAAATTGATAGTGTTTAATGCATAGCTTAGGAATTCATATGGGTGTTCACTATGTTAGGTTTTTACTAGGTTAATTCTATGAATTAACCATACTTAATCCTTATTTACTACAGACCCTGTAATAATTGAAACCATCGATTACCCCACCAGAAAGCATACCTTTTCAAGCCTAATTATTAGGCAGGAGTATGAGGTTTCTATAGTTTCTTTTATCATTTGTCCTCTTGGGACTATTGTTTACAAACAGAAGTCATTTATACCCTTCATAGAGGTAGGGAGACCCTAAGGCTATTTATATTAGGCATTTCTTATGTTTATTGTTTTGAAAATGGCTAATGATAGATGTAAAAGTTTTCTAAGTTTAAATTTCTAGCTACACATAAATATTTATGATGATTTTGACACTTATTAGCTATAAATATAGTTTCATAAGTTCCATAAAAATAATAATACCATGTCTTCTTGTATGTATATAAAGAAATTGCCAGTAACTCTAAACTTTTTCATTTACTTTTTCAGTTGTAACAATGAATTTCTGATGATTCTTGCTTTCACCTTTACTCTTCTCCCACGGGTTAGATTTGTAAAATGATTAATTCATATAATAGTGCCTTTAAGATTATGAAATTGTAAAATCAGCTGGGTTTTAAGGAGGCCCAGGTTTTTTGAACCTGGAACCTTTGTCTCAGCTTAGAACTCAGAGCAAATAAGTTTAAAAGAATAAATGCACTAAGATTTTTATTTAATATTCTTTGTTATGAAGCAGAATTTGGTGTGAGGAGGATTTATCATGGTCTTTTTCTAATGGGATTTGCTTATGAAATAGAAAAAAGAAGAAGGCAAAATCCCGTGTATTTCTCTGGGCCAACAATATTTTGAGTTTCCAGTGTATAGTTAATTTAGTCCTTTCTGGATGAACTGAATTGTTATGAGCTCTTAACTGCCAAGTCACATTTAAATCATTGCCATTTTCGACATGAAATTTGCCCTGTTTTTCATGCTTAGTTCATTTAGCTTAGTGAAGCAGTTTTTAAAATCTAAATATAGACTTTGGGTAAAAAGCATGAGCTGACAAATTGAGTTTTAAATATTGAAACTTGCTGACTAGAAAATTGTTGGATTTCTTTATTTTTTTTCCCTTCATTTGTTTTTCACTTAAAAATGTTTTCCCTTTCTTCCCCACCCAGTTAATACACTGTTAAATGTGAAAGTAAGTGAAACAGAAAATGGCAAGCACGTCTCTATACTGGATCTACCTGGCAACATTCTTATCATCCCTCAAGCCACTCTTGGTGGGAGAGTAAAAGGAAGAAATATGCAGTATCACTCTAACTCTGGAAAAGAAGAAGGGTTAGAACTTTATTCCCAGTTTGTGACTTTATGTGAAAAAGAATTAGCTGCAAACAGCAAGTGTGCTGAAGCGGGGGTTGTGGTTAAACATGGCACTTACGGGAACAGGCAGGTGTTAAAGCTGGATACCAATGGACCGTACACACACCTAATTGAGTTTTGAAAAATTGAAAGTTAATTTCTACAGTTGTTTTCTGGTATAAAATGATCTGGACTACAATTAAATTTTCTTCCCCTTCTTCTTGAATACACTAATCTTCAGCATTTTTAGACAAGAAAATCCTGGGTCCCAGCCATAACTCTACAACCTACTAATTGGATGACCTTGCCAGTCACCTAAACCCTAGACTTCAGTCACCTTTCATTCTGCTTTTCCCTACAGTTGGACTTGAAAGTTTGAAAATTGCTTTCTATTCACTTTATGGTCATTGTGGAATACAGCTCTCTAGCTGTATTTAAGTATTTTGAAATGAAGAGTTTTGTGCAATCAAGGAAAATATATTTCTTATACCCTCAAATGTATGTAGTATGTAATAAAAATAACTGTATTAAAATTAGGTAAAATCCAACACTAACCAATTATAATTCGGTCAGTTTTATTTTATTTCAGTTTTCTATATTTTGAAAGAATATGCAATTTACTGTTTTTTCAACATATGAAAATGTAATATAGAAATTTATTGTGAATTATAATATTACATGCCAAGGATTTCCAAACGCTTTAAATTATTTTAAGAATCTTTAGTTGATACTGAAACAAGGTATCAGAGATGAAAAGTTGTTTTTACTTAATATAACAGTGTGTTAATACTCTGTTTCTTAATTTTTTGCCAAAACAATGTATGTCTCATTTTTTATCTTTGGTTTTTAAAAGTTACTGTTTCATGAAATTAGTGTTCATGATTTTTTACAAAGTTCCTTTCTTGTTGAATTAGATTGCTATAAAAGGAAGAAAAAGGGAAGCTTTCTACTGGAATTAGTTGAAAATAAATTCACTTGCTCATTTCCTTATTATCTATTAATGAATATTTGTGTCTCCCGCCCCCCGCCGCCCGAAATCATATGTTGAAGTACCCCAATATGGTGGTATTTGGAAATGGGGCCTTTGGGAGGCGTTTAGATTAATGAGGTCATGAGAGTGGGATTAGTGTCCTCATAGGAGACACCAGAGAGCTTGCTCTCTCCCCACCATGTGAGGATTCAGTGAGAAAGCAGCCATCTACAAGCCAGGAAGAGAATCCTTACTAGAAAATGACCATGCTGGCACTTTGATCTTAAAAGTCTAACCTCAAGAACTGTGAGAAAATAAATTTCTGTTTAAACCACCCAGTCTGTGGTATTTTGTTGACAGCCTGAGCTAAGACGGTGACATAAGATAGCTAATTGAGTAGACTTTTCAAGGGCAAGAAGAAAATATATAAGAAATTGAAAGAATAAATGAATCAATAAAAGATAATATTCAGTTTTTGCAAACTTCTCTGAAGTGATTTAAAGAGATATTTTAAAGAGTGAAAAACAACTATTTCTAATTACCAGAAAGATGAAGAAATTAACTTGAATAAACAAGTAACTGCTGAAAATTTTTTGTTTAATGATTTCTTTAGTTCCGTGTTCTTTAGATACTTAAAATTTTTATCACCAAAAAAAAAAAAAAATCCTATTTTCTCTATATTCTTCCTGTACTATTCTATTTTGGAACTTCAGAATCAATAACTGGCTTGGTAATGAGCTCTTTGTCCTTAACTTTGGCTTTATTGATTTACAATACACTTATTGAAATGTAATAAACTATTCATAAACTTGCAAACTCCAATTTTCTCAAAGTTTCTACAAGGAGATGTATATGTTTTTCAAAAAGATTATGTGCTTCCTATTTTAAATCATTTTGAGTTTGTGTGTAGGAGAAATATTGACTCACAGCCCTAGATTGCTCTTTTACAGTTCAGGCAATTCTCTTTAAATTTTTTTCATGAGGTACTTGTGGAGAATAGCAATTTCAACTACATGAAGGATTATTAAGTAGAATGTGATGGCTCTTTATTTCATTGCCAAGGAGGCTAACTAGCACAAGAGGGAAAAGGCAGGAGAAATAGTGGATATGAAAATAACTATACCTTGGCTTTCTGTAGCTCTTCTGGCCCAAGGTGCTCAAAGAACCTTCAATAAATGTCTCATTTTATCTTCACAGTATATAATGAGGATAGTGCTGCGGAAAATTAAACGATGCTTAAATGATTTCCCTAAGATCACGTAATAGGAATAATTTCAAACTTCCTGACTTTTCTTGTAATGAGAGTTGTTAAAATTGAAATTGTTCTTGATAAAGGCTTAGCATCTCCTGGTGTTGATCATTTGAGAAAGAACAGCCAATAAATTGATTTCTTTACTAAATTAGGTGGCAGTTGTAAGTCACAGGGTTGTAATGTAGATGGGTACTAGACTTATCGTGGTGATCACATCATAAGGTATATAAATATCTAATCACTATGTTATACACCTGAAACTAATATATTTTATGTCAACTATAGTTTAAGTAAAATAAAAATAAAGGTGGCAGTAGGATAGCACCTAATGTAGGTGCCTTCTTCCTCTTTTTCTAAGATTCTAGAATTTTTGAATTAGAATATCATTTCTAAATACTATTTTAATCTGTCTTTAAAGACAACTGATTCAGTTAAAGAGAATACTGTGTGTAAAACATGGACTACCAATGAGTGTGGTTTTAATATTTTGAATATACTCAGTAAAATCAAACACACTTTTATCATTCCTTCATTAATGCAAGTCAAAAGAAGGCATACTGTTCATAAATAATATCTGTATTAATGATTTATTGACTATAACGAAAGAAATAAACTTATCAAATATAAGGATCAAATACAATAGAATCCTATGCCACTTGTTTTAGGAACTTACATTGGTGTTGTAAGAGAACAATGACGTCAAATTTTTATTATGTATGATTAGCATCGCAGAGGACCTAATTTGTTATGTTATAGTTAAATTGATATTGAAAAAACCCACATGACAATGAAACTAATATATTTAGAAGTGCCTTACCTATTAATTTATTGAAATAAGACTAGTTTCTGAAGAACTACTAGAAAACTAACATTTTCGTTCTGAAGCCACACTTTGGTAATGACTTCAAATGGCTATTTATTTTGAAGACTTCCTAATTATTCTCTTTCCTCCTATTTCTCCTATCTCTAATCCTTTTTTACAGACCATCTTCAAAATATTGTTCCTAGAACATTTCTTTGCCTATGATATTATACTGTTCAGAAATTTATAACTTTTTTTTTTTAATCTACAGGGCAAAGTCTAAACTTCTAAGGTAGCAAGAAGGTTCTCCATACACCTTAAGAGTGAATGAAATTGCGCAGGGAGAACTGTAAAGGACCAAAGTCAGACTCTCAAGAAAACAAAGGGCAGCATATGAGAAGCCAGAGGACACTATAGTAGTCCCCTTCACTCACAGTTTCACTTTCTATGGTTTCAGTTACTTCTGGTCAACAACAGTTCAAAATTATTAAATGGAAAATTTCAGAAATAAGCAAATCACAAATTCACTCTATAGTATCTTTTTAATATTACTATTTGTGTAAGAGCTCTGTACCTTTAAAAGATGTATAGAAAACAAGTCTTAAAATACAAAAAGGAAAAACTTTCATTTAAGAAAAGCTGTATTTGCGTCCTTCATAAAACAAACTTTTTGTGAATCAAATAAAAATGTCTTTATGAATTTTGATGCATCAAGCTTTATTAGACCCTTCTATATTTAATACAAAATACGGCAATTCCGTGAGACGCATCACAAATAGCCAATTTCGTGACAAATATGACCCTACTTTTTACTGAGCTTTTCTGTTGAATGAATTATTTGTAGTGGGTCAGCCAGCATTTTTCTCCTAAGAAGCTTAATAAAATTTGACCTATTACATCAGCTTTTCTTCTGAATGTGAAAAGATCAATTTATGTAGAGAATGCACCACACCCCTTGTAACAGTATCTGAGAACCATTAGCTAATACAATTATAAACAGTTGGGGCTGGGAAAGTAATGTGGACTTTTTTTTTTTTTTTTTTTTGAGAGGAGGTATGGAGTTTTTTAGAGCATGTCTGACCATACTAGCAAAAATGCCATCCTTGGATCCTCCTTTGAGATACTGTTTACTTAACTTTGTGCTAACAGAGATAAACTAAGGCACACTTTCTACTCTAGGCATTCTTTTAATTTACTTTGCAGCCCCAAGTTAAGCCTCTTTTTGAGTAGATGCAATCATCTTCAAAGTTTAGTTTGCTCAGTGCCTGGATTACCCTTTCTCCTGATTATATTCAAATAGTCCTCATGGCTTTGATTTCTCTTTATTGTATGCATACCTACCTTTTTTAAGCCAGATGCTTAAAATGTTCTTAAATTTGCTTAATACTGTATCATAGATAGTTGCTCTGCACTTAAAAGTTGTGTTCCTGCATCTCACCCTGGACCTACTAAATCAGGATTTCTGAGAAGGGGCTTGCAAATCTGCGTTTTAAAAGTCACTTTTCCTTACCTGTTACACAAACTAGCAACTGGCAAATGATTGTGTAGTTGTAATATCTCTGAACCAAGGGTCAAGAGGCTTTAGTTGGAGTTTCAGCTTTCCCACAGACTGTGTGTTGTACTACCCTAGGGTAAATCAGTCCAGGACTCATCATAAAAGAGAAGGATTTGTATTTGATAAATTCTAAGATCTCATTCAGTTCTGTCACTTTGTGGAACTCTGAAAACCGAATCTTACATAGAAGGAGTTAGTTAAACTTTAATTAGAAGAACTGGAAAAATTGTTTAGGTTTATATTCATCTAAGCTATAGTTGTCTCTTAATTCAGCTAGTATGTGAGTTACTCTTCTAAATAACTAAATTCTGCTTGCATTGCATTAGTTTTTATTTGGTTCTTAAAAGCTGACCCACAGAATGAGCTTCAGACATTTCACTCAGCCCTTTGCCGTTTCATAGCTCCATGTTTCCTTGGTGATTCCAGTGTTCACAGTCTGCCAGGTCCACTTTGAGCCATTGCCACTCTGCATTCCTTTTACATTGTTGATAATATCCTTTTTTTCTTCTTCTCCTTCTTATAAAGAAAGTGACTTATTTTCTCAGGGTTCTGAATTGTCAGAGGTTACTGCAAATTTTAAAGCTGTATTTACTAACAAGAAAGGAAAGTGTCTCACTGTCTTAAGCAATGATTAAATTTTATGCTTTTGATTGCCTTAGTGTTGGGTAGTGTTTTTTTCCATTATAAATCTGGGCCTAATTTTACTTTCAAGATGATTTCAGAATTTTATTTTAAATGTTATTCAGTATTCTTGAGCTATCATCTCATAAATAATAATGATGAGCATCCATATCCTCCGAAAGGTTTTTTAAAAATCTTTCTTTTCAATGATGATATAATTTGCTAAACTTTTCCAAAAATCTTATTGGCAGTTTCTTATTTATTAATGTCATGTGACCAGAATAAAGTTCATCTAGTATATAGTCTATATTTTTGCATTTATCCTAAAATATATGTAGGATTTAGTAATGATATATTAATTTCTTTTTTTTCTTGATATTTTCATTTAAAAAGAAGAGTGAAAAATTATGCAAGCATTTCAATACTGGATCATTGCTACTCTCAGTTTAATTAATATTTGAGATTATTTAATTAACCAGATACTTACTACTTATGTGAAAAAGCAGTGGTAGGCATTATAAGCAAATAGATAAGTGTATTGCAAGGGACCTGCCATTAAGGTTACACTAGTGATTCATCCTGAATTACACAATAATTATAGAAAAAATATTGGATTTTAGCTCTCCTAGGAGTTCTTTGTTAGACACAGTCAGAATTCAAAAGGCATAGTTTTTTAAATAAGAATTTATTTAGAATCTACTATATACCCAGTATTCAGAAACATGGGGGATAAAAAATAAAACATGTTTCCTTTCTTTGTAGGTCCATATCTTTATATATTTCAGGAGACAGATGGGGGCAGGGAATATAGATTTGGAATTTAGCTGCATATAAATTTTTGAGGAACCACCATACTATTAACTTTGGTGACTTTGGATATTAGAACTACCATATGATCTAGCAATTCCACTTTTGGGTACATATCCAAAGGAATTGAAAGCAAGGTCTCGATGAGAGATTTGCACATTCATATTTAGAGCAGCATTATTCACAATACCCAAGAAGTGGAAGCAACCCAAATGTCCATCGAAGGATGAATGAAAACAAAATGAGGTATAAATATGAATGGAGTATTATTCAGCCTTAAATAGAAAAGAAAATTCTTTTACATGCTATGATGCAGAAAAACTTTGAGGACATTATGCTAAATGATCTGTTCACAAAAAGAAAAGTACTACATGATTCCACTTATATGAAATATCTAAAGTAGTCAAATTCATAGAAACAGGAAATAGGATGGCTGCCAGGGACTGCGGAGATGGGGAAATGGAGAGTTGTTTAAAGTTGTTGTTTATAAAGTTTTAGTCATGCAAGATTTTTAAAAAAGTTCTAGAGATCTATCTCACAACATTGTGGGTATACTTAAACTACTGAACAATATACACTTTTTAAAAGGTCACCAAAGTGGATGACTTTGTGTAAGACTGTGTAGAAAAGATGTCAAGAAAGAAACAGCAGGAAGCTGCATATTTAGGAAACAGGCAGATTAATAGATGCCTTCAAGAGACTGACAAAGGGCAGGAAGAGATGAAGCAGAAAAATTAGGAGAGAATGATGTCATGTAATCCAAGAGAAGGGAGAATTTC